GATTAATATATTTAGCAGCATAGTGATCTCAAGAAAGTAATTTAACCACTCCAAGTCTGCTTCCCCACCTAAAAAAGGAAGACAAAAATAAGGGTAACCTATAGGGATGTTGTGAGGATTAAATGATATGATATCTATAAAAACCTTACACAGCACTCAACAAATAAACACAACAGCTACTATCTTTACTATTATTATTATTTGCTCACTTGTCAAGTAAGTTGTAGAAGAGATTAGTGTCTTGGATGAAGATTGAATAGATGATCTTATGTCTTAAAATAATAAAATTCTAAGAAAAGTAAGGAATAAAATAGGTCAGACTTTCTATGCTTGCTACACAATGTTAAACCTAAATTAGGTTACATTATTAAAGGCTATTATTCCAAACAGTTGGAGAGGAGTTCACCACCTGTGCTGAGGCTTTCCTATCCTATAACACAGGAGAAAGCAAACTGAATCAGGAGTCTATCAGAAAAAAAGAATGAGGGAGAAAATGTGATTGTAAGATTGAAATAAACATTCTCAGACTAAAAAGAGAAATGAGAAAGGTTTTTGTTGTAACCACAAGTTAAGAAAACAAATAAATGAAACCAAATCAATAAATAACAAATCAATAAGACTGCTTATATCTGATGTTGTACCACATAGTTCAGGCTTCATGCTGCCTCAACAGTCCTGAACACTCATTTTCACACCTAATTATATGTTGCCCCATCATATCCTGTCTTATTTCCTTAACTGGACTGTAAACTTCTTGCAGATTAGAAAGCTAATTTTTTACATAATTTGCAATGTTAACAATATAAGAAACAGCAAACACCAACACTTATGAAACGCTAACATATATTTATATCCTGTAATAATTTCCCTTCTCATTAAACCTGGCAGACTGAACACATTCATCTCTGTTCTTTTCCCAAACTCAACTAAAATGACAGTAAAGAACTTTAAAAGGTATAAATTCACAATAATAATGAGAATACAACAGACGATATCAATGGACAAGAAATTTTAACAAAATTTTGGAAGCTGGAAAGACTATGGACATGTTGCAGCTGAACTTAGCAGATCAGAGAAAGCTGAAACCTAGGGCTGCAGAAGGGGTGGATGGTGGGGGAGAAAGGCAGTGAGAAGCAAACCAATGAATGCATAGCACTACTCCAGAAAGATTCAGTAACCAGAGGTACCAGCTACCAGGTAACCAGGAGGATGTGTATGGTGGGGCTAAAAACAGAAGGATTAGTTGAAAGTTTATGTAAGGAATAGGTAGTTTATCAGATGTCCTCTCCATAAGCCCAAGCAACTGGACTGCCTCTATCATCACAGAAGACAACACTCCAGGAGAGTATCTGATGCTTCCCCATCAAAATAGATCCTCCTCTGTTCATCTCTCCAGGTAATAAGGCCCCTACTACTGCCCTGCTACTCATTCTCCCTCTCCCTCTCCCTCTCCCTCTCCCTCTCTCTCTCTCTCTCTCTCTCTTTCTCTCTCTGCTACCCATTCTCTCTCTCTCTCTCTCTCTCTCTCTCTCACACACACACACTCACACACACACACACGCACACACACCTTCCAATTAGCACTCTTAAATATCGACAGCTAGCCAAGGAAAGCCTAAAATACTGTAGACTGACACAAAGAAAGGAAGGAAGGAAGGAGAGGAAGAAAGGGAGGGAGGAGGGAGGAAGAAAAGGAGAGAGAGAAAGAGAGAAGAATACATTTAAGAAAAGAAAAGGGAAAAAGAGAAAAGAAGGAGGAAAGAAGGGGAAAGAAGGAAGGAAGAGAGGGAGGGAGGGAGGAAGGAAGGAAGGGGGAAGGAAGGAAGGGGGGGAAAAGGAAGGGAGGAGGAAGGAAACACAGAAAAGGAAGAAGAAAACTTTAAAAAATATAATAATAATACCACCATAGAGAGACTATGTGATACTGCATCCATAAAACAAGAACAGGAGGATTCTCTTTAAAAGAAAAAAAAGAGAGAATTGAGAGAAAAAAGAACATATTCAGGAAAAATAGGATTCTGGTTCTTTCATCTTAGTTGGAATGTGGATGTGATAGCTAGAGCTGGAGCTGCTGTTTTACATGTAAGACAGAAACAAGTTGAGGACTGGAAAGAAAGATAAAAACAGCCTCAGTCTTTAATGACTGTTGAGCTGCCACTGGAGCCCCAAACCACCTCCAAAACTATGAGAGATTAAAAATAAAAGCAAAACCAAAAAACCTCTATCTCATATAATAAGCTATTTTTAGGTTTTCTGCCACTTGCATTTTAACCATATACTAATACAGTACATGTTACACAGTAAGTTTTCCCCCAAACCCCTATAAAATGAAACAAAGAAAATTATGTTCCAAGCTTATGATATTGTTCCTATTAACTATGCTTAAGTCTATTTTTTTTTTAAATAAATTTTTATTTTATTTATTTATTTATTTTTGGCTGCGTTGGGTCTTCGTTGCTGCACGCAGGCTTTCTCTAGTTGCGGCGAGCGGGGGCTACTCTTTGTTGTGGTGTGCGGGCTTCTCATTGCAGTGACTTCTCTTGTTGTGGAGCACGGGCTCTAGGCATGCGGGCTTCAGTAGTTGTGGCTACTGGGATCAGTAGTTGTGGCTCGTGGGCTCTAGAGCGCAGGCTCAGTAGTTGTGGTGCACAGGCTTAGTTGCTCCGTGGCATGTGGGATCTTCCCGGACCAGGGCTCGAACTTCTGTCCCCTGCCTTGGCAGGCGAATTCTTAACCGCTGTGCTACCAGGGAAGCCCTTAAGTCTATTTTATATTAGCCAAGAAAGCTGAATGCTAACACTTCAAATTTCAGGATTACATTCTAATCAAGTCTACCATGTGTAATAAAACGTAATGCTGAAGGACCTATGGAATATAGTCCCAGGTGTCCACAGCACACTACTCTCATTGTTTTCAGATGTTGCAGAATCACTCCACTAAGGCTTACTTTCAATTTCCCTTCAGCCTGACTTTCTTCTTTTAAATTCATATTGGATGACTGATGGCTAACATAATAAATATTTTATCTTTCTACACCCTTCCCCCAGGAAAAACATGCCTTTTTGAAAATGAGGCACTGTTAGACACCTGGAGTCTAAACTTAGTTCTTAACTCTTTTGTCCACAGTGAACACTGTGGCTTTTAAATGTTTTTACATTGCCATAAACTATCTATTAAAATATGCTATTCAATCTTACATAGATAAAAAAATTACTTTCATAACTAAACTAGAAAACCTAGAGACAGAATGATCAAGATTATGGAATAAAACATAGCTCAGTATGAGTTTAACTGCTTAGCTTCAGACTGCATCACCTATATTGTAAATTACAGTTATTCTGATATTGTCTAAAAATTTCTTAGTAAGTAAAAATTACAGAAAATGGTAAAGGAAAAATGTTCCGGCAGAAAAAGATCTATATAACTCTGGAATAATTTTCTTCTGAATTCTGACGCAGCTAATTAAATCAGTAATAGACCTGTTTCTATCCCCACAACTTTCTCCCAGGGTTCTGGCCTTTCCATTGGTGACTGGCTGGTACATGTGGCTAGGATATGAGGGTAATGACAGCAAGCACATTCGTACAGAATAAATACAAGGAAAGGGAAATTTGCCAAAGGGAAAATGCCAAAGGGAAAATAGGACAATAAAAGAAATAGTCTTAATAGACAACAGTCCACCTATTTATTCCTTTCAGAATCAATTCACTTGCCAAATTCTTACCATCTTTGTAACTGAGCCACGTCAACATAAGCTCAGGACTTTGACACACACATTATCAAACACAGATATGATCAATCAGAAGTAAACAACTCCATTTCTATATTGTTACAGTGCTAAAAGAACAAGCCCTCCTTATTAATCAAAGCATGGAACACTTTGTTTCTGCTCATGACAAGAATAACCAGTTTAGCAGACAACTCCTCCATCCTTAAAAGTCATTGCACTTATTGCTTATGGATAAAGAAGAAAGAAGTTAAGAGATGACTAAATATTCATCTTTAATTCTATTCATATTTGCATTGAAATTTTCATCTTATTTTTCTTGGCACTTATTTTCTATACTTTAACAAAAGACTTAAGTACTAGGAAGACAGCTGGTATCTATGAGAGAAAAAGTTGATACTCTTCTTACTTGTATAAGGTATGCAGTTGAGGGTGATAAATATTATTTATACTGAAAGGCTTAATGACCACTTCCACCCTCCCCCCGCCCCCCAAAAAAATTAATGGAGGGCCACACAGCTTAAAATTTATACTGGGGGAGGTTCTTCTGAAGGATCAAATACCACTGACCTGTCCCAAAGCAAATAAGACAAGGTAACCTGCCAAATCAATGCTCAGTATTCAGTAAACTTGACGTTCCCATAAATGCCACAACCACTCCATCAGACCCTAGCCAGACCAGGTTCTATGAAACCACCACAGTCCCTGAGACTGGTTCTTCCTTCCACCTATCTCTTAAACTGACCTCTAGCTGATACTTCTCAACTTTGGGCTTTCCTCAAAGGGAAGCAGTGAAGTTGGGAAATTCCCTCATATCAAAAGGCGATTTTACCTCTTAAATCTACATGCACCTGAAAAGGACAGGAACACACACTCACAGTTCAGAAAACTTTCCATGGGGTGAATGAAATTAAGGGAAGCCCTTTAGCCAAAGTCTACCACCTTCACATTATAGTCAACTATCAAACAGTTTGTATTTTAATTATTAACTGCTCAATTCATCACTGTGTATAACTAAAAAGGCATTGATTCTATTCTTATATCCCTTCCTAAAAAAGGAATAATGTGAGAGGGGTATTTGTAGAACAGAAAAACCAGATGAAAAAATGAATAATGTTGTAAATCAACAGAAGCTAGATGTTTTAGCAAAGACTCTTATCTAATATTCTCAATGTAGGTGAAATGCACAACAAATATAAATCAGAATATGTAACTGTTTCTTGTGGTAAAAAAAGAAAAAAATGGAAAAAAAGAAAGAAAGAAAAAAACTCACCTTCTCAATATTTATCTGGTGCTTTCTTAACCTCTCCAGGTCTGTTGGGATTACTATCTTAGTAAATTTCTGAATAGCTGGTTCAAGACGGCGTAATTTCACTTTTTCTTCATCTTCAGACATCCTAAAAAAATGTTGTATCTCTTCTACTTGCAACATCTACCTTCTCCACTCATGTAGAAAAACCTAAAAGGGAAATATTTATTTAAGAATTTTAAAAATCAATTTCCATTATTTTTAAAAGCCAACAATTAGGTAATTTTATAATATATTCTAAACACATACTCAACTTAATGCTGAACTTCAGTGACTGGTTTTTTAACAAAACTTTTATTTTAAAATCTTTTTCTCTCTACAAAGGTAATGTATATTCACTTTAGAATGATTAGAAAATAGGAAAAAGAGAATAAAATAAAATCAACAATCATCTCCTTACCTATAGTTAACTACTCTTTCCATTTTTCCCCCTCCCACCCCCATACTTCCATTTTGATGTATGTCTTTCCAGGGCTTTTTAATATAAGGATATATATATGTATGCATATAATTAAATAACTTTTTTCAAAAAACCAGAAGTACACTGTTCAAGTCTTTATCTCCCAATGTATCCTGGACAGTAAATAATGTTTTCTAAAAAAGTGTCAAATGGCAAAATTGGAAGAAAAAATTTCATTCTTAACATTTCTGCTGTAAAAACTCCATTTCTAATAAAACATATGTAATTATATACTTCAAATATATTATAAAATGCAACTTTTCTCATTGATGTCCTTTAAATTGCATCTTCCCTTTCTTACAAAGTGATTAGCATTGTCTACAATCAGTACACGTAACCAGTGACAGACCTGGAATAAGAACCCAGTATTCCTGAGAGTTCAATCAAATGCTTTCTAATTCACCAGTAGTTTTTTTTTTGAGCAGTGTTCCAGAGAGTCCAGGGTTATGTCTTTGGGGTCAGGGTAGGTGATGGTAAAGGTTATCAAGTGGACAGGCTCCAGGACCCCACACCTGCTTCAGTTGGAGAAAATTTACTTATATCTATTTCATAAATTTGAACTTATTAGATTTTCTGTAAATAAAGGGCTCCACTGCTTAGGCAAGCTTGAAAACCACTGTTGTACATCATGTTTTCATGCCGTCTAATTAGCCATAACCTCTCCCATATTAAAAATAAATAAGTTGACTATGTTAATTCCATTGGGTTATGGTATCTTAGACTTGGGTCCATAGAGATAGGGGTTTGGGACTTGAGAGTTCCTGAATGTTTGTTTACAAAAAATTATGAATATATTTTTGAATTATTTCAGAAGACAGAGTCCTTTGCTTTCAAGAAATTATCAAAAAGCTCTATCACTCCAGAATCATTAAGAACTATTATTCTAAATAATGTTGTTTCTCTCTTTCACAGTTGAAAATCTTGATTGGTTATACAGATTATCTCATCTACCAGTAACTTGGTCTTTACAGTTAATCTAAGCTTGAAAGCAAAAAAGGAAAATCTCCAGACACCAAAAATAAAGAGTCTAACAGCTACAGTAGTTAGTGGGAGATGATGGGGAAGTTCACTGCCAAAAGATTGGTCCACAGACCCAACAAAATGGGAAAATTTACAGCTAAGGGACTAGAGATAATAAAGTAACCTAAAAATAAAATTTAAATAGCTACATTTTAAAATAAAGATATAAAGAAAGAAACAGAATCTTTAAAAAAATTAGATAATATTATGAAACAGTAACAGGTCAATCTGAAAATAAACCAAGTAAAAATTCTACAAATAAAACCCTCCAAAGATGGGTTAAACAGTAAATTTTGTAACTGAAAAGACAATTATTGATTGGAAGCTATCAGTATGAACACAGAGGAATAAGGACACATAAAAAGAAGATAAGCAACATTAAGGATAAAATGACAAGCTCAATAACAAGTAGGGGTCCCATAAGGAAAGAATAAATAAAATGGCAAAAAGGCACTATTCAAAGAGAATATGCTGAGAATTAAGATGTAAAGCCTCAAAATGAAAATGCACATAAACACTAAGTAGCATAAATAAAAACCAAATTTACCTAAACACATGGAAGGGAAATTTCAGAACATTAGGGACAAAGAAAAAATATCTTAAAAAGGAAACCGGAGATAAAAGACAGATAAACTAAAACAACAAAAGCAGTAAACTTTTCATCAAAGCAACATATCAAAAGATCGGAATATCTTCAAAGTGCTGAGTTGGTATATACCCAGGTTAATTATTATTCACAAGTGAAGGTAAAATAATCATTTTCAGACATACAAAGACTGAGTTTATTACCAAGCCCTTCATTAAAAGAACTACTAAAAGGCATGCTTTAACAATAAAGAAAATAAACCCAAAAGAAAGGAATAGCAAGGAGCAAAAAAATATAATAAAGTTTACTGTTACTGGGTGAATAAAGGAAGCAATGAAGAACAAATAAAAGATTTATTGTGAATAACCTGATCAAATATAATAAAAATGTTTCCATGTAAATTATTATTTTTCTATAATGTATTTTTTTTTTTAGACATTTATTGGCCTTATACTTCTTGAAGTTTTTTGTCCCCTGAATATTTTAATTAATTAATTTATTTTTGCTGTGTTGGGTCTTCGTTTCTGTGCGAGGGCTTTCTCTAGTTGTGGCAAGTGGGGGCCACTCTTCATCGCGGTGCGCGGGCCTGTCTCTATCGCAGCCTCTCTTGTTGTGGAGCACAGGCTCCAGACGCGCAGGCTCAGTAGTTGTGGCTCACGGGCCTAGTTGCTCCGTGGCATGTGGGATCTTCCCGGACCGGGGCCCGAACCCGTGTCTCCTGCATCGGCAGGCAGATTCTCAACCACTGCGCCACCAGGGAAGCCCTATAATGTATTTTTTATAGCAGCATGGTATCACATTGTACAGATGTTCGATAATTTAATCATCTAATGTTGGCCACTCAGGATATTTCCAATTTTCCACTATTATAAACTAAACCACAGTGTAATTACTCTTCTTTCACACAAATCCATACTACCATCTATGATTATTTATTTAAAGTAAATACCTGGAAATAGAATTAATAGGTACACACATTTTTTAAGGCTTCTGATTCTAAATGTCCCAAAAAAGGCTATGCCTATTTACATTCCCACTAGCAACATATCAAAATGTCCACTTATCTGGATTAAAGACTTAAATGTGAGACCCGAAGCCAAAAAACTCCTAGAAGAAAACATAGGCAGTATACTCTTTGACACTGGCCTTAGCAATATGTTTTTGGATCTGTCTCCTCAGGCAAGGGCAACAAAAGCAAACAAAGAAATAGGACTACATCAAAATAAAAAGCTTTCTCAGTGAAGGAACCCATCAACAAAACAAAAAGGTAACCTATTAAATGAGAAAAGATATTTGGAAATGATATATCTGATAAGGCATTAATATCCAAAATATATAAAGAATTCACACAACTCAATATCAAAAAAATAAACAATCCAATCAAAAACTGGGTGGAGGATCTGAACATTTCTCCAGGAAAGACAGACAGATGGGAAACAGACACATGAAAAGATGATCAACATCTCTATAATCATCAGGAAAATGCAAATCAAAACCACAATGAGCTATCACCTCACACCTGTCAGAATGGCTATCATCAAAAAGACAAGAAATTTCAAGTGTTGGTTGTTGGCAAGGATGTGGAGAAAAGGGAACCCAAATGCATGTGGTGGGAATGTAAACTGGTGCAACCACTATGAAAAACAGTACGGAGGTTCCTCAAAAAATTAAAAACAGAACTATCATATGATCCACCAATTCTAATTCTGGTATTTATCTGAAGAAAATGAAAACACTAACTGAAAAGATATATACACCCCTATGTTCATAGAGCATTATTCACATTAGCAAGATATGGAAGCAACCTTTAAGTGCTCAAACATAGATGAATGGCTAAAGAAGATGTGATACATATACATACATACACACACACACACACACACACACACACACAATGGACTACTACTCAGCCATAAAAAAGAATGAAACCTTGCCATTTGCAACAACATGGATGGACCCAGAGGGTATTATGCTAAGTGAAATAAGCCAAAGAAAGACAAATGCCATATGATTTCATGTACACGTGGAATTTAAAAAACAAAACAGAACAGAAACAGATCCACAGATACAGAGAATACTCTGGTGGTCACCAGAACGGAGGCGGCATGGTGAGTGAAATGCATAAAGGGGAGTAAGGGGTGCACATTTCCAGTTATAAAATAAACAACTCACAGGGATGTAAGGTACAGCATACGGAATATAGGTGATAATATTGTAATGACTTTGTAGGATGATAGATGGTTACTAGACATCATGGTGATAAATTCATAATGTGTAAAAATGTCAAATCATTATGTTGTATACTGGAGATAAATACAGTATTGTATGTCAACTATACTTCAATTTAAAAAACTTTAAAATGTCCATTTATCCATACTCCAACCAATACCTGATATTATCATTCTTCTTAAGACATTCAACTGGTGACAAAAATGGTATCTCATTATTGTTTTATTTTGCATTCTTTATATTACTAATGAGATTGACTTATTCTCTATTTGCATTTCTTCTTTCATCAATTGCCTGCTCGTGCTACAGGGACTGTCTTTCTCTTATTATATTAACATATAATAGTCTCATAAATTATCAATATTTCCCTAACACTACTGTTCCCAGTTTATCACACTGCCTCTTGTGTTTTCTTCCACTATGCAGATTATATAAGAAGCTATCTTTATATCTATTACTATTCCTATCAAAATGTTTTTTAACATACCTGGTATTCAACAGATGCTAATGGAACTAAAACATTTCTTCACATGTCTCTTCTACACTATTTCTAATCCTATCACTCTAGTCAAACAGCACAATATGCATAGCACATTACAAGTGTCTTACTTGGCCTGTGTTTAGACTCTTTCC